TATGTAACTTCTCTAGACTTCTGTTTCTTGTCTCTATATTGGAAATAAACCTCCAACTTGCTTTACTAAGAACTAGGGGGCTCAAAAGGTAGAAACAGGGTAGAAAATCTTTGAAAGAAAAACATATAAATAAAAGAGATTATGTTAAAAGTCCAGTGTCCTTCAGCAGAACCTGGTTGAAGCACACACCATGAAAAGACCTGAGAGTGTGACACAAGTATGCAATTGGGTGGCCTTCTCTAATCCTCAAGACCCCATCCTGAGCCTCCTGTGGTTCTAACTGTGTTCTTGGAGTTCTAACTGTGTTCCACAACAGTGTTCTGACAAACAACTCCAGGGGGTCGGCTGAAACCTAACACACACCTGTGCGCAGAGCCAGTTCTGAACTTGCCCAGAAGCAGAGCACTGTGATGATGAGAGTCCACCTCTTCCTTACCCAAAGGCTATTTCTTGTGGGTTTAGCCCACAAAAACATTTTTTTTCCTTGATGGAAGTCAGACCTCACTAGAGCATCCACTGCTGAAGAGAATGTACTCTCTTGTTCTTCTATGAGGCCCCAGGCCTTAACTGTGCATAGCTATTCCATTGGCATCCAGGGGAAGAGCCCTTCCAGTGTGCAGCCTTCGGGAAGGCAGATGTGCTGTGTTGACCTTCAGGAGGTCCTTCAGTGCCAACCCTTCCTGCCACATGCAGCTCGGGAAGTGCCAAGTGTACCAATAACAGAACTTCTAGCCAATGACAGACTGTGTGTCCATCCCCAGGGTCCTAAGGTTCACATATGATATTGATATGCCCTACCTAGCCCTGCTCTGCTCCATGTTACAACCTGTCTGGCCTCCCCTTGTGGGCCGTGAGAATTCAGAAGACTGAGCCCATCCTGTTTCAGCACCATGTTCCATACAGTGGGGGCAATTAGTGAATCTCTGCCTCTCACTTCTATTCCTTATGAGCAGGCCCTACTGTGGCCCTGTACCCTAGCTGCTTACAGGGGACAGGGAGCTACAGTAGGCAAATCAGGGGGTTCAGGGAGCTTCCAGTTCATGGTAATGGCTGTCACTAACCCTACCCAGCTCTTTAGTCTCCCCAGCTCATGCCATGTTCCCTCAATCCAAGGTTTCCCTTCCCATTGAGGCTGTCTTCTAGAAAGCAGTATGTTTTCCTGCATTCATGTTTTCCTCAGCCTCTCTTTCTACCTGAACTACGGGCTGTTCTCAACTCCCTCCTCCCCTGCCCCATCGTGCCCATCCTTGTCCCCAGGACATCTGTCCTGGTTTATTTGGGAAACTGCAGCCACCACAGCCCAACATCCCTACCACTTTCTCCTCCAGAAATAGACACTTCCTACTATCCTGTCTTGACTATACTCATAGATAAGGACACTGAAACCAAGGTTTGCCAGTCACCAGGCTAACCTGGATGAGAGCACTCCACAAATCGAGTGTTCTAACATTCAAAGCTAAAGAAAGACTGCTGAGCACTGTACTCAGTCCCATCATTCCTCCAGGTACCTGCTTGCTTCTACACAGGTCCCAGGGCCCCCCACACTTGTGGCAGAGTGCCCTGATAATTGGTGCTGCCACCACCCCCTTCCTTCTCCCTGAGTCCTAGGGGCCTTTACTGTACACCCTTGAGATGTTCCATTCACTCCTAACAGCCAACCTGGAAAGGTGGCCCTGGCCTATGTTCCCACCACTGCGTGTTTTAGCTTAGTGTGTGCAACTGCCTCTACGTACAGCTCCCTGGAGCTCTGTCCTCGATGATGACAGCCTGCAGGGAAAGCTGATGGCAGAGGGGCAGCTGCAGGGTCCTGTTCTCAGTTGCTTCATCTGGACTTTGATTTTACTATCTAGTCATGGTAGGCCATCTGTGTCACCTGACCCTTCCTCAGCATCTTCAAGCTCCCTCTCAGTCCTGCCAGCTTCTGGGCTATGCATGGCCACCAAGCTGTTGCCTTGTAAAAGAAGCGACACAAGTCCATGACAGTCACAGCAAAATAAGGCACTTACTGGAATCTGCAGAACTAACCCTGTCACTGGAAGGTGAGCCCAGTCCTCGGCTCTACCGAAAGCCAGGTGTAGAGGCTTTGGAGACAGGAGGAAGATCAGACAAGGTCACACTCATCCTCAACTATAGAGCAAACTTAAGGCCAGCCTGGGCTACATGAGATCCTGTCTCAAAAACAAAACTACTTTCCTCAGGTTTCCACATGTGGTAGGAACTTTAAGCCAGAATCATTCACTGAGTACCCATGAAGTGCCCAGTCTTAGGACATGGAGGAATGTGCTGGTGGTGAAGGCTTGTGTGTTGGATATAGGGAGAAAATTCAACACTGCAGGCCCTTCCCAGGATGTCTGAGAGTATTGCGAGGAAGGAAAGTCTGTTCTAAAGATTTAGGATACATTTCTTTTTTATATTCTATTTTGCAACACATTAGGAGTAGTTTTTAGATATTGAAGTAATGTAGAGCTTCTCACTTCACATATTCTTTCTTATTTTTAAATTTTATTTTTATTTTATGAACATTAGTGTTTCGCCTTGTGTGTTTGTCTGTGTGAGGGACCTGACACAGGTCCCCTGGAACTGGAGTTACAAACAGTTGTGAGCTGCTATGTGGGTACTAGGAATTGAACCTGGGTCCTTTAAAGACCAATCAGTGCTCTTAACATTGGAGTCATCTCTCCAGCGCCAGGATACAATGTTTTTGTTTGTTTGTTTTTTGTTTTGAAGAAGCTCATAGTTTGAGATTGTGGTAGTGTTGAGTGTGTGCAGGACACAGCATCTTTGGCTGTGCTGTCAAGCATCTCCAGAAGGAACCGGACATCCCACAGCATTTCCCAGACTTGTGTGACTGGAGAACCCAACTCCCCTTTGGGCAATGAATCTCTCAGGGCTAGTTTGAGAGATATCCACCTTCCACTGAGATCACATAAGCTGGCAAGTGGCATGATTAAACGTGCTTTTTACTTTTTATTTCTTTAGGTGCAGAAGATGGGTTGGGAGATGGAGGGGCTAAAGGTGGAGAAGGCTGCTAATAGTGGCAGCTGCTGGTACCCACAGGCAGGGATATACAAGATCTCACTAAACCATCTAGGGTAGAGATGCTGTTGCCCATGGTGCTTACATGGGGACAGGGAAACCTCAAATGGTAATGTCATGGCAGAGAGTAACCTGGAGAGTAAGTGGGTAGCTGGGGTTCTAGCCCAGAGGCCACCTGCCACTCTACCACCAACAGGGATGGAAATAATGCAGGCCAAAGGTGACATGCCGTTGAGGAAAATGGGACTGACAGTAGAACTCCAAGTGTGAAAGAAGCAGGGCAGGTGGTAGGGTTGGGACAGGACACCTGGCCTGAAGGAGCCTGTGCACTCTCCCCATCCTCTTCTTCTTTAGGGTGACTTAGTAGCTCTGTCCTACATAGTTCCTATAAGCCATGAAGAGAAAGAAACATGGCAGCCATGCCCATCCTCTAGGCAACACCCCCAACTTCCATCTAACAGCCAACTACCCAACTACCAGGCAGCTTAGCCCTCGTGCCCAGCTAACGAACTGGGAAGTCACAATTCATTTCCACTCGTGCCTGCTCTCTGGGTGCTGCCTCCACTAGGATCCTCGGGGATGCCTATGACATAGGCTGTGCTTTTTAGGGGTCGGGTTCAGAGACCATGCCAAGTGAGGCCCAAGTCAGCACTTGCTGAGGAAAAAAATGTAATGTGAGCCACACATTTGAATCATATGGGAAATTCTGAGCAAGGCATGTAAAGAGTGAAAGGGAACAAGTGGAATTGATTTTAATAACATATTTTACCCAAAGTTCTAAAAATATTACCATTTCTACATGAAATCAGTATAAAAATTAGTAATGAGATGTTTTACATTCTTTTCCTAAGTTACTAAAATCTAGTGTGTATTCACACTTTTGACACATCTTAATTTGGACCCAGTACATATGGACATTGGCTCCTGTGCTGGCCATTGCCATCAAAGCTATTATCCATGGTGGTGTATCTTTGTAAACTAAATGATTGAATGAGTGAGAACCAACTAGAAGCCTGAAGACCTTGCTGGGAGTCTGCAGTCTTAAACCTGTACAGATTTTTTTTGTCCCTCTCTCTGCCTGCCCCTTTTCCTTCTTGTATTCAAGATATGTTATTGAGCTATCGAGAGGACAAAGTCTGTCCTTAGAGATAAAGTTTCTTGAGGAAAGCTGAGGAATTAGCCCTCTCTTGATCCACATCATAACTGCAAAAGCCAACCATGTTCTTCAAATTGTATTTGTTCACCAGACATTTACTGAGCAAGCTCCTCCCTCCCCAAATCCCATTCAACATTCTGCAGCACAGCAATGAGTCCCTTCAAGGAACATTTGAAAAAATGAGTACACGAGGATAGTGGACCAGATACTTCACCATAACCAGTCACTTGTAACAGAGGCCCTGGGCACTTACAGTCCTGGGATACAGCATTTGACATGCGCAGGGCCTTGAAGGACAAGACCACATTTGCCAGGACAATCAGAATCGGGGAGGTCACTCTTCAAAGGGCAGATAGAAAGTGAGGCATAAGAGCCCAGTGCCACTTGGGGATTGTCTCAGGTTGGGCGAGTAAACTTTGGGAAAGATCTACATGGTGCTTCTAATAAAAATCTAGGCATGCCAGCTTAGGACAGGAGTAGCCACTGATGGTTTTTAAAGTGAGTGTGATGTAGTGTGGTGTCATGCTGAAGTTTACAAAGTCCCCCTTGACCTGAGCAGAAAATGAAGATCAGAGAAAGGGATCTTGCTGAAAGGCAATTGTGATGATCTGTTCCAGGCCAGATAGGAGACCAGCACTAACAAGCCAGCAGAGAGAGGACTGAGACACTGGGGTGAGAGCGCAGAAAGGTACCCCATTGACTCCAGGCTCTAACGTGGGGACCTTGAGGCTTTTCCCCAGGCCATGTGTAGAGATGCATGGAGCCATCTCAATGTGAACTGATGTTTTAAGTTTCCACTTTAATGCAGCTACAAAGACTCCATCCCTCTCGGCCACCGCCTCCCAAGATCCAGCGCTCAAGGCCCGTGAGTAGCCAGTGGTGTGCCCTCCCCTTCTAACACTTGCCTAGCCCTCTCCCCTGGCCTCTACTAAACCTAGAGAGTGTAGACTCTCCTGCCTGGCACAAGGAACCGGGAAATGGGTTTTTCTGCTTCCCTTACTGTGTGGCATGAGCTGGAATTTGCATTTTCTGGGCTTCTCTCTCCTTTTTCTGAATCAACTCAGTGACTTGCAGGCTGTAGCCATGGGTAGCCAGGCTGCTGTGTGAAGCTTCGCATCATTTAAGTGAATCTCCCGGGGAGAGCTGTATTTCTAGTCACTGAGCTCTCACGGCTCACTGCAAATGCCTCTTCCTCAAAGAGGAAGCCACAGTCTGACAGCAGGGATCTTATTCCCTCAGGTCTTGGTTGGGAAATGTTTGCTGTACCTTCCCAAGGGCTGAAAGTACCCGGATAGATGGCAACAGGTACTGTCCCCTGCTAGGCTTCACAGGGAGGGGTACCTGCCCACAGGAAGTACTAAAGAAGAGTTGGAAAAGAGAACAACATACAGCCCTAACCAGCCAACCACTGTGAACAGAGCAGGACATGGAGAAAGGCCCATGTGTTGTAGAGAGAAATGCCAAGGGCTGGAGACATGACCCCTGACAGAATGCTTGACTAACATGAACAGAGCCTTGGTTTGACATCCAGCATCAGTGCTAAGCATCTATGTGCTTCTTTTCCCATGTACACGGACCGTAAACTCCTGGGACATAACTTTCTCAGTGTGAGAAACTTACTAGGATGGTTTGATGGGAGCTACTTCCCAAAGGAAGGGTTCTGGTCTGTTATCCAAGGCAACCATACCCAAGCATAGGGGTCAGTTATAGTCAGAGCACCTCAAAAACTAGTGTGCCATCCTTTCCTGGTATACTCCTCCAGGTCTATCTTATGAAGGCACAAAGTCCATCCTCTGTAGGAACAAGTCAAGTGTCTGTTTGAATTCATGGTGTACACACCCAGCATCCATTGGGTAGCTACTATCTGGGTAGATGTCAGATGTCCTGTGATTCTGTTTTTTCCTCTTCCCCACTGAGTGCAGATGTTAAAGGCTTGCAGTAGAGAAGGGGGGTGTAAGTTGGGAATCTACCAGTCTAGCCTTGTGAGGTGATGAACCCATTTTGTGCCCCTATGAAAATGTAATTCACCCAAACCCCAGTTGGCACAACTGTCAAGGGGCTGGAATTTTCTACTCCCTGTCATCAGAAGGAAGGGACAAAGATCGAAGTAACCTGCTCTGAGGGACCGCAAGCACATCCAGGTTAACTTGTATAGTACAGCAAATGTTTCAATACAAACCTTAGCAATATGGATTTGGGATTATCAGAACTGGGCCAGAATGCTAAGGATGTATGAGTTTGGGCAAGTACTAAAGCTCTCCGATCTGCCCTGCTCTTTGAGACCAGGCCCTCATTCATAGTGATCTTCTGAAAAAATGAACACAGGTGATATGTGAAGGACATCCAGCACAGAACCAGACACACAGTAGCTGCTTTTACTCTTTCTAACAGGTTTTTTTTTTAACCTTACCACTTCTAAATAATGACCCATTTTATTAAGAGCTATTCTTTGCCTAGGCTTTTATAGTCACTAACCTGTTTTGGTGACCTCATCCCAACCAAGAGCATCATAGTAGCTCTATATACTAAACATTGTGGTTGCCCATTTTAGAAAAGATGTTTGGTAGCTGAACTATTACCAAGGATCACCAGACTATAGAATTCAATGGTCCTCCTAGTGTCCCCAGTTCTCTGGGCCCTCTGGCTGGATAGATTTCCCATGAGGTCTCTGGGGCAGCATTGTTCTGGCAGGGATGAGAGATGGGAACTCCTTTGAATGTGCGTTGGACTGAGCTAGGTACTCCATATTGTTTCATCTGTTCTTGCTTCAACCCACGGAAAGCAAATGTCATTTCTCTAGTGTGTAGCCAAGACCACAGAGATAGTAAGAGACCATGCTGGCCTTTGAGATCAGACCTCCCTCTCTAGTTCTTGACAGACATCTTTTAGCAGCCATAGGGAACTGGTAGGGCGCTCAGAACAAACTTAGAGGCCTGGTCTTCCAGACAGCCAGAGGATCAAGGTATGGTAGCTCTCAGAGAAAAACTCAGTCCTGGAGACAGCTCTAATGGACCCTAGTCTTACTACTAGGACCCAGTGTGGGGACTTGGATAGATTGTGGGGTGTCCAGAACTTGAGGAAGCAAATATTGCCCCAAAAGAGGGCTGGGTAGCAGCTGCCTCTGCTCCTAGCCAGTGCAAGAGATGACTGACTGGCCTTGCAAACAGAGCCACTGAGAAACAGATTAGGAGGCTAGAAGATATGTTGTACCCCAAAGTCCCCAGGCCATAGAGACAATTACTCATTCTGGATACACTGATGTCAACATGTCCAGTGGACACCAATACACACCGAGTGGGAAGGAACTAGGGAGACCTGGGCCATAGAATTCCTAAGGGCCACAGAAATGACAGCCTGACATGGTTCCATGTCAGGATATACCAGATCACCTAGCTGTAGACATCCAGCTAAGGACACAGGGACTGGCCATTGTGGTGAGGCAGACACTCAGCTTTGACAACAGGGATCCTGTCGTCCAGCACCAGTGGCTGGAGCTCAGCTGTGACCAGAGGATCCAAGGTTTCTTCTTAATAAGGGGGAGGAAAGAGCAAAAGAAAATCATGCTGGTGTCTCTTAGATGAAGGACAGTGGCTGGAGCCACCAGGGGGAGGCAGGCTGCTGTGGCCCACATGTGAAGCACTTTATAAGCTCTCTATTTATTACTTCTTACTCACCATTAAAGTCAAATGTACTCGGTGCTTTTGTATTCAATACACACTTAACCCTGCCGACTTAGATTTCTCAGGTTTTGAATCCGGTGGGGAATTGGCTGGCTTCCCAACTTTCCCCTCCAGTCCTGTGAACAGAGCTGCAAAGCCCTGTTTAGCATTCTCTCTTCTGGCATTGTTGAGATCCTAGCAATGGTGGGCCAGCCCCTGTTGTGTATGAGAGCAGTTTTTCCCCTCCACCCAGCCTTCTCCCTTCCTAAGCACCCCAAAAGAGGGATTGTACTGCTGAAATACACCAGGGTTGTTGCTGCATTGTCTTTTGATTCAGCTTTGATTAAACCAATTGTCTGTGTGTGTCTAGGCCTGGTTGTGACCTGCCACTGCACCGTGTGTGTGTGTGTGTGTGTGTGTGTGTGTGTGCTATCACCTCTCGTGCATGCCTTTGTGAGACTACACACTGTAGTCCCCAGGCCTGGTCCATTTGAGTGTTTGTCTGTAATGATAATCCTATACCAATGAGGTATGTGTGACTCTGGGTGGGTCTGTAACCACAGGGGTGACTGTTTCTGGTCCGTTATGTCTTTCCCAGCCTCCCCTCGGCCCTCACTCTTCTCCCTCCTCTGTCTGTTTTATCATCCCTAATGAAGCAGTCTCCTCCATCGATCCCGCTGATTGCCAGCCCTTTCCTTTTGTTTGTTGGCGCTGAGCCATTCAACAGCACTCTGACAGCTCAGCTCCTCTAATTAGCTCTGTTGTTCTTTTTCCCCATGTTTCACCACGTTGCAAGTTCAGTTGAAGTTGCCACAAACTTAATCCCCCCATTTCAGTAGGAAGTTCGCATTCTTAACCTGTCTTCATTGTAGCAAGGAGCAGCCCTGTATAGGACAAGCCAACAGGCCATAATGTCTGACCTTTCTGAGCTCAATCCCCAGATCCCTAGCAAAGGTAGAAGACCTCTTCCACACAGCGCACACTCCTTCCCTGTAGGTATCGTCTCAGGGATCCAAGGGGCTTTGCTGGGAAAACCAGCTCCATATGAGAATGGAGGCAGGTACAGCCCTCCATTTATTCAGCAAATGTTAACCAAATGTCTGTTGGGTGGCAGGCACTATTTATTCTAATAACAATGATAACCACAGCAATATTTATCACTGTTAGAGTTCAGATAGTAATGTTGTCGGTCTACAAATCTTGCCGAGGCTCCACTATGTACCAGGCATCTCACAGGATGCCTGAAAGGATTAAGACTATCTGCCGTCTTAATCTGCAGGCATCTCCCTCCTTTCCTTTTGCTATTGATAATAGGGGGCACAAAGAAGATCACAAAGAAGCAACAAGCATTTCTGGAGCCCCCGCTCTGTGCTATGTCCACACCAGCTGTTCTCCACACCCTGTGGTTGAATCTTAACAATAGCCCTGTGGAAGAAGATGGCATGTTTTGTGGAATGTTCTTGGCCTTTTTACCACGTCTCTGATTTGCCAAATGAGGCTGAGCTCAGACTGGCCACTCCAGAGGAAAATCTTTGGTTCAGTCAGACATGTGCAGACCTGAGGGCTCCTTGCAACTCTATCAAGACTAGTCTTGTATGCAGCCAACTTCTATAAACTTGTTCCTCACCACTGTGCTGTCACCCACCAGTTGCCGCAGGGTGGGAAAGGTCAGTAGGTAGCGGAGTGTGCCTTCTGCTTTCCATCTTGCCAGCTGAGCTCAACTGGTGTGTCATTGCAGTTGCAGGAAATGCAAGTCTCCTGTGCCTGCTCCAATGTTGGCTTGTCTTCATGAGCAACAAGAGCCACAGAGGGACATTCTCAGCTCTCTTCCCAAACCTCTTTGGCACTGGAAGTGGTCAGAGGTGATGGTAACACACATTAAGCCACATAATGCTAACTGGACCAAATGAGACTCCCAGTAATTCATTTCCATCACAGGCTCTAATGGGCCAGGGAAAGAGGCATCTCTCTTCTGAGACTTCATCCTGGTTTTCAGAGGTGACCCATCTATCCACAGTGTCTGCTGCCCTCGTGCACCCACTGTCACCCCAATCTATGCTTTGCGCAGCATCCAGTTGAGCCCTGCTAGAAGATAGACATGGTGTACCCAGGGAAGCAGGCTGGTTTAGCTAGACACTCTTTGGAGCTGCCACTTGACTTCCCCCCCTCCCTTTAGAGAAAAAAGTAAGTACCCTGTAATTTGGTTATAAAAGAGTACATTGAGTGTGTATACCCCCAAAACAAACCTGCGTGGAACCTCTTTGTTCCACACACTGATGAGGGCTTTGTCATTCCACCTCCCGTGAAGTTCACACCTCACTCAGTACTCTGAGCGGTCAGTGGGTCTGTGGATGAGGAGAGCCTTTTGGGTTAAATTCCAGGTAGCACACTCATATGCTGTATGTTAGATGGTGGTGTTTCCATGATAAGCAGGACTCTGAAAGCCCAGACGTGGAGAATGTCTAACCAAACCTCCTGGGGCTGCCTACCCAAATGTTCACAAGAGACTTATAACTGACTCCTTCTTGGGGATTTCCCCATGCTCATCCTTAGGTACGGCCTCCTCGTCCGCATGTTGTCAAGAGACCCAAGAGTAATATCACTGTGGAAGGCCGGAGGACATCTGTCTCAAGCCCTGAGCAGTGAGTACTGTTGCTACCTTCCTTCTGTCCTCAAGCACCCAACGATCCAGAGCTCTGTAGTGACCAAGCATGCAGCCCCAGCCTTCCTCTTGAAGACTCCTTAAACCCTGAGCAGGTGTTTCACAAGGAGACCAATCAGGGGACGGGACAGGGCTTGGTCACTGGTGTCAGAGTCTGAGTCACGTTAGCAAGAGGCCCCCATAGCAAGGAACCTGGGTTATGCTTTGATTGGTGAAGCCCAAAGGCCACTCAGTCACACCCCAAAGGTCCTGGCCTCTCATATTGAAGATACAGAATTCACAGGTTGGAATAAGGTACCTTGCCAGAGAGGTTGCTTGCTTAGCAAGGCCACCATCTGTGGTTCTGGTACTGTTCAAAGTCTGTTACCTGAGTTTATACACAAGGTATCCTTAGCCTTGGTCTCTCCTGAACCATCGCAGCTGTGCTACAGAGACTTTGCGTCCAGTGTCCCTTCGGACCTGCAGCTCCTCGCGGCACCCTAGGACCCAGCCTAGCACCAGCTTCAGTTGTCATACCCTGCAGCTGTTGTGTAGATGTGGTGACTGAACCTGCAGATTGGAAAGCTGCAGAACTGCTGGAGAAGGCAGCGCTGTCCCCGTGACTACTCATCAGTTTCCTGGGACATCTTTAGAATGTTCAGGAACTCATCTTGGCCTAGGGTTGTTTGAGAGCAGAGGAAAAATAAAACTGTCCTTTGTGTGAAAGGGAGGAATACTCCTCTTTACAAAGAACTGGTGCCAAAATAGAAAAATGATTCCAAAATATCAGGCTGTGGTCTAGCCCAGTTGTACTTCAGTTCTCCCATGATCCTCTGCTTTATTATAAAACCAGCTTGAATGGTCTTTACCCAGAGAACACCAGAGTGAGAGTCGGAGTGGGAGAGAGACAAGGAGAGGGAGAGAGACAGAAACAGAGAGAGAGAAAAAAAAATGAAAGAAAATGGGGGTGTATGTGTGTAGTGATGCTTGGATATGTGAGAGGGGACGCCTGAAGTTGGGGCAGGTTTAACTTGGGTTCTGCACATTGGCATGGTCAGACTACTGGGGTACATCTCCTTGCCATGGGTTGTGACTGCCCTCTTGTGGTGAGAATGCTGCATGGCTCTGGGTTTCCTCTTGCCCTAAAGATTTCTCTTGAAGAGGATGGAATTAACCATCTCTTCTAGCAGATCATGGTGTCCTGGCATAGAGGCCATGGACCTGTAGATACTGAGCCAAATACTCAGATGTCCTTACATTACACACACACACACACACACACACACACACACACACACACACACAGCAGACCAGTAGCAGTCCACATCCTACAGAAACACATTCCCCACTTTGTGTCCTGATTAGAGATTGGACTTGCAAAGCATATTTATTTATGCTGTTCCTGTTCTAAACTAATGACAGGTGGTGTGTTAGTGTGTGAGAAGAGCTGGGCATGTCGAGAAGGTGGCTCTTCCTCAGGGGGTGATATTTTAGTGTGTATGGAGAGCCAGGTGTGCCTAGAAAGTTGTTCTTCCTGGTAATTGTTGGTATCACCTCAGTATTCTCGTGTAATGTGCCTGTCTTAGATTTCTTTCCAGAAAGCATCAGGTTGAGATGAACTGGACAAGAGTGTGGGGCTGGTTCACAAGACTGGCAGACAATGGTGGGTGACAGGAATTAAAAGACAGGTCCATGAGCACACCTCACCACAGCTCAGGCTGGCCAGGAGGTGTTAGGGAATGTTCTATGACGCCATTGCTAGGGTTTCTTTTCACATATTCTTAATGAGGAAGAAGGAGGCTGTGCTCCCATCATACCAGTGACATTTCTGGTGCCACCCGGGTGTTTTCCTGCATGTCTTCCATGCTGCCATTCCCCTCTCCCTCCCCCCATGCTCCTCCACTTCCAAATGCCATGTCACAACAGCACTTAGATGTGTTTCTCTCAACTGTCACCAGCTCCAGCTGGCAAGACCAACTTCTTAAAACACAGGAAGCATCCAGTGGAAAATATTTTAATAAAACAGATTCCTCATAAAATATTGTTCTAGAAGGGAAGGGAAACAGCGCCACCAGCCTGTCAGCTTTGTGTTGGGAGAGTTGGGAAGAGGGGCCAGCAGGCAGGAGCCATTGTCTAATGGGTTTTTATCAAGGGTGGTTTCACTGGCACACGTGGACTCAGAACCTGGCCCTGTCATCCACTCTGATTTTTCTTGGTTCTTGGTCTCTGCTGGAATGTAAGTGCATTGAGATCCTGGAGACTCTGGGCTGTGGGGAAAGGGTGGCTCTCTCTTACTTCCTGCCCAGCCCTCACTTCAACGGCACATTCAATAGTTATCTCTGTTCAGCAAGAGGGAGCCTCTTAGGAGCTGAGCTCTCTGAGATCCAAGATCCAGCAGTAGCTGGCAGCTCTCAGCTGAAGTTTGTTTCTTCCTTTCTACTGACATGCCTCTCTGTCCGTCGCTCTGTTTGTGCGTTCATGTGTGCATTCAACAGCCATCTTTGAAAACGTGCTAGGCACATGCTGAGCAGCCTTTACAAGAGTTCCCATGGTGACTCATCTATAGCCTTAACTCCAAATGAAATTTCCTTCCCGTGTTAAGGTTTTCTGGCCCCTTAATGCCATTTCTTGACATTCAGATAAGCACCTCAGGAGACTCAGAGGGAAACTGTCCGTGTTTTTCAGTCACTGATTAACTTGAGGTTAAGGGCTGGGGAGATGGCTTGGTCAGTATTAGGACCTGGATTTGGATCCCCAGAAACCACATAGAAACTGGATGTGCTAGAGCATGTTCATGCCTGTAGCACTGGGAGGACAAAGCACATGGCCAACTGATTCAGCCACGTGGTGAGCCATCGGTTCAGTGAGAGACCATCTCAGAATGATAAGGTGGACAGCCATGGGGAAAAACTCCGAGGTCAGCTTCTGGCTTTTGCTCATGTGTTCACGCGTACACATGGACACTACATAGACATACTCAGAAATGAAAAACAGTGCAAACAGTGCTCTTTTCCTCCAAGAAGCATTAGTCCCTCCTGTTACTATTATTCTAAGAATCATTAACCTCTCTCCCATTGTTTTTTCTAGAAAGCATGAGCTCCTATTATTCAAAACGGGAGAGGCCTCCTTTAAATTCTAGTCAGCAGGACATTCAACTGGAGCCCCAGATCTATCCCTGAGCCCTTGTGTGCTAGCTCTTTCCTCTGGGGGGCGGGCACAACAGAGAGCAGCAGAGCCTGTTACATTTGCACACTGCTGCCCTCCTTAGCACAGGACCTGTGTGTGCTCTTTATAGTCTGGTTTTGCCCAAAGGTATAGCTTTGTGTCCCAAAATAACTTGCCCAGCTTGCCAGCCCTCTTCCTAGGTTCCCTGGAACCTGAAGTTGGGAAGTGGGTCCCCTCAGATCTACTGTCACAGAACTGTCCTCCCAGGAGCCTGAGCATTTCCACTTGGGGAAGGAGAAAGAAGCAACAGTGGCTGGATACCACACCCTTAGGATCATGGTGGGTAGGTAGTGCTGTTCCAGGTTCTTGGTGGAGAAACTGAGCTCAGGTTGTGGCTTTTATAGTAAAGTCAGAATCCCGGGGCCATGACTGGTGGGATCAGCAGTCATGACGGAAGCTTCTCCACCATCCAGCCTTCCTATGCAGAACCTGATTGTGCCTCAGCAGCTCCTCAACCTCTACAGTGAGTTCAGTGCAGTTAGCAGTGGCCCCGGTTTCCAGTCAGAGCATGCCTAGTTGTCAAGCTCCAAGGTATTTCCACCCAGCTTGCCAGGTGCTGGGGAATTCTCATCCAACCTGCTTCTCAGCCAACGGCCTTGGACAACTCTGGGGACATTCTGATCAGCATCATGCCCCCCCATAGGACCCCACACTGAGACTGAGCCAAGAGTCCAATTACCACAGTGACCTCTAGGTGCCCCTTGGGTTCCCTATGAGGAGGTTACAGTGGAACCCAGGCAGCAGCTCTCACTGAGTTGCAGAGAGTCTATAGGGATGTCCCCATGTATGCCCCTGGTGCAGCATAGGGCCGCCTCATGGGTCCTGAGGTCGGAACTTGAAAATGGCAGTGTACCTGAAGGGCCCTGTCCTGCCCTCCAAGCTCTCTGAACTGATTGCGTGGCTTGTCTCTACATGCAGGTTCAACCTATTACTTAAGTTCCCTTGTACTAAAGGAGAGCCCAGATTCAGCCACCAGGGGATCATAAACCTGCTCACCTCTTCCACCAGATAAATGAAATCTATCTTTGTAAGAAATTTTGTCAGAATAATACAGTAGCCTTAGAGACAGTTTAGAGGCCAGAAAAGAGAAGTTCACTCTGAATCCCACTGCTTTGATTCAACTACACATAAGTATTTGTGTTTCACATAAGTATTGGTGGTGCAAGACTTTAATCCCAGCACTTAGGAGGCAAAGGCAGGCAGATCTCTGTGAGTTCAAGGCTGGTCTGGTCTACAGAGGCAACCAGGGCTACACAGAGAAACCCTGTCTCAAAAAACCAAAAATATATTTGTGTAGAGTTCCCTCCAGGCTTTGTCTTACTATATTTTTAGAGTTCCTCAGTCTGTGATATCCAACTATATAGACTTGTTAGTTGTGTCTTGGTAACGTCTATCATTTGTGACTACAGCATGTATTGAGGGGGGGTCTTACACCTGCCCCTATAATAAACCTTTAGATTTGTTTCCAAGGTCTCATTCATATGAGAATGCTAGGGTCATACCCTGCTCACTGAGCTTTCTCTCATTCTGTATCACTGTAAGCAGTGGAACCAACACTACCATTCACTGAGAAACATATGCAGCATCCTTTATATGTGACATTTCATTACATCCTCATGACAAACTGGGAGGTGGGGACATAAACTTTGTCAAGAGTCTGACCCTTCCCTTGGTTATTCTGCTAGTTGGTGGCAGAGCTTGGCTTCAGCTCTGCCTATTCATGACCAAGCCAGTACACCCGTCAGTGCCATAGGAAGATATCTGTCATGTGTGACT